AGAAAATTGAAATTGATGATGAGAATTATTTTATTTAGGAAAAAGGGATTCCTAACGGACTTCAAATAGGACCACTACTTTTTGCAACTTATCTTGATTTCTTCCTTAAATCAAGTGGATTAACAAACTTTAACATAAAAGCATATGGGTATCAAATATCTTTCAAATTACATAGCCTCATTCAAATAGAAGAGGTTATGAGCAAGCTTAACTCCTTAAGACCATTTTTATTCACAGAGATATAAAAAAGTGGAATCATTTAAATTTTAGGCGAAGATTTAACTTAAGTAAATAAGTATTTAGATATTCCAATAGTCAATAACTACAAATTCCTTGGAAGCTTCATCAGCCCATACAGATATCTAATTATTGAGAGTTCTTTACAAAATATGATAACTTACTAGTAAAAACTTTGTAGAGCTATAAAAAGACTTTCTGTTTAGGAATCCATTAATATCATTCAATCCTTCATCTTAGGCCAATTAATGATTAAGTTTCTTCCCATTTACATGGTAGGATATATAAAACTAGATCAGATGCAAACAATATATTAAGACAATTTAAAGAGAGCATTGATATAATTGAAAATAAACGACAATAATTTAAAATTTGAAAAACACTCATTGCAGAGATTCGACTTTTTACTAGCAAATTTTGAACCCAATCTTGATTAAATGGCCTTAAATGATGAATCTTCAATGAACTTAATATAAAATCAGATGTTTAAGTTCAAAGACATTCAGTTATCAAAGTATCATATCAAAGTTCTAAACCTATAAACTAGCATTTGGCTTATTAATGAAATGTGTGTTAGATGCAAAGATCACAATCAGCCTTTGGGAAGAGGTCACTTATGTGATGCAGAACTAGTTTCCCTAAGAGTACCATTTCTGGTAAAAGACATATTCAATTTGAATGAAATTTAAGCTGCAATTTTAATTGAAAAAGTATACATAAGACTCAAAGAGATTGGAAAATTCGAATATTATAGAGTCGATAATTTGGAAGAACAATACAAGAATATCATAATTGAAGTAATTGATTTTTACAGGAAAAAAACTGCCACGAAATACAGAAAAAAATAACACAACCCAAATTAAAATAATTTTATTAAAATTTTTTGAGTTTAATCCTTATCCAAATTTCTATTAGATGATTTTATGGGGTTTTGGGGTTTTGGGG